CGCTATGTTACTGAGATATAATGTGATGAAATGGAATATTTTTCTGTTTTGTTAAATCTGAAGATGTAATTTGCACAGAGGAAATTCTTCCACTGTGTTTTGCTGATGTATTTTCGACACCTAGTGGTACTGCATGTAAATTACTTTAAGCTTTTTACTGGATATGTTATCTTACTGGCAGCAGTGATGCCAATCCTACAGCTTTGCTGGAATGTATTTTATTGTTAAAATACTGAAAATTTACAGTAAAGGTTTTTAAAAGCTTTAGCTCTGTGCCTGAGTAGATCATGGAGCAGATAGCTCCTTCTGGAAGCTGTTTTAAGGCACATGCAAGACAAGGAAGTGTTCTGAAAAAGCCAGCACATCTTCTCCAACAGCAAATTGTACCTGACCAGTTTGGTGACTTCTACAGTGGAAAGATTACATCAGTTAATCTAGCTTGTCTACCTGACAGCATGGACTAGACGGTGGATAAGAAATAACAGAATCACAGAATCACAGGATCGTAGAGGTTGGAAGAGACCTCTGGAGATCATTTAGTTGCTAAGAAACACCCTTCTAAAGCAGAAAAGTGTCCATATAGGTTTTGAATATCTCCAGAGAAGGAGACTACACAACCTCATTGGGCAGTCTAGACCAGTGCTCTGTCACCCTCACAGTAAAAAAGTTTTTCCTCATGCTTAGATGGAACTTTCTGTGTTTATACGTGTTGTTGCTTGTCCCAGTGTTGGACAAAAAAGAGCCTGGCACCATCCTCTTGACAGCCATTCTTCATATATTTAAAAATGCTGATAAAATCCCCTCTCAGTCTTCACCAGGCTAAACAGCACCAATCTTTCCTCCTGAAAGAGTTGCTCCTCCAGGCCCTTCAACATCTCTGCAGTCCTCTGCTGGACTATCTCCAGCAGTTCACTGTCTTTCTGAACCAAGGAGTCCAGAACTGGGTGCAGGACTCCGGATGTGGCCTCAACATGGCAGAGTAGAGAGGGAGGACAACTTCCCCAGCTGTAAGACTCTGTACTTGCCCTTGTTCAATTCCATAAGCTTCCTCTTTGCACAACTCTGCAACCTGTCCAGGTCTCACTGAATGGCAGCACAGCATTCTGGTGCATCAGCCATTCCTCCCAGCTTTCTAGCATGAGCAAACTTGCTGATGGTGCATTCCATCCCTTCATCCAGGTCATTGATGAGGATGTTGAACTGGACTGGCAGTAAAGACTGAACCAAAAAAGGTGTTAAATAACTCCACCTTCTCAGTGTCCGCTTACCAGAGGCACCCATCTTCTTCAATGGAGGAGCCACATTTTCCCTAGTCTTTCTTATGCTACTGGAATACTTAAATAAGCTTTTCTTGTTATTCTTGACATCCTTCAGCAGATTTAATTCAAAGAGGGCCTGTAGCATTCCTTGTTGTATTCCTGTATGCCCTGAAAATTTTCATATATTCATCCCAAATGACCAGCATTCCAACATTCTGTAGATATTAGTCTTCCATTTGAGTATTTTCATGAGCTCCTTGCTCATCCATGCAGTTTTTCTGCCTCCTTTGCCTGGCTTCTTATTTTCAGCTATGTACTGATATTGAGCTTGTAAGAAGTGGCGCTTGAATGTCAGCAAGCTCTCCTGGGACACCGTACCTTCCAGTGCTATAATCCATGACATCCAAGTAATTTTTAAAAGGGACTCAGTTAGCTCTCTTGAATTCTGGGGTTGCAATCCTACTTTTTGCCCAATTTCTTCCATGTAAGATCCTGAACCTCACTATCTTTTTGCTACATCCAAGACTCCTCCCAGTTTTCACAACCTCAACCAGCCCTTCCTTGTTTGTAGGAACAAGGTCCAGCACACCTCTTCTCATTTGCATCTCCACCACCTGCGTCAGAAAACTTCAATGCATTGCAGGAACATCCTGGACCACATGCATCTGACAGTGTTGCTTTTCCAGCAGATACCAGTGTGGTTGCCAATGAGAACCAGTGCCTGTTAATGTAAGGCTATTTTCAGCTGTCAGTAGAAGGCCACATCAACTTCCTTCTGATGTGACAATCCATAGTAAACACTCAGAATGGTGTCACTCATATTATCCTTCCATAATTCTCATCTAAAAGCTTCCTGTCCATTCATCTATCATTACTAGAGAGAACTTATAACATTCCGGTTGCTCTCTCACAGGCAGAGTACCTTACCTTTCTGTCTGTCTTTCCTAAAAAGGAAGTAGCCAGCCATGACATTGTTCTAGTGACATGAGCTGTTCCACCATGTCTTCGTGATCGCAATGAGATTATGTCCCTGCAACAACACACAGATCTCTAGTTGCTTCTGTTTATTCCCCGTGCTGTATGCAGAGATTTCAGAGAAAAGGGAGCAGAGGATGCAGGTTTCCCTTAGAGCGTACAGAAAGTCCCCCACATCTATACACATGCTTGAAGTATCTGGCCTTCTGGCTCATGTCATGGGAGGCAGCTAAGGAACATTCATCGCTGTTCTGGTTGGCCTGATTCTTTACCCAGTCAGTTGCAATGATGTGTATTGCCATTTTTGACCTTGTTCCACAAGCCCTACAGTTTAATGCCTGCCTCACAAGGTTGGGCAGCCTCCTGCCACAATTGCCCTGTTTCTTCTACACATTTGAATCCCATCCCTCCCTGGCAGGTTATAAAATTCATAGAAAGTCCCACTGCTGTAAAAGTCAAAACTCCAATGTTGGCACCAGCCATGTGGCCGGGAATCGATATGCATTATATGTCCATTTCTGTCTTCCCTCTTTCCACCAACTGGCAAATTGTACTGTGTACCAGTGTTCTTCAGTTGTGCTCCCAGAGCTTTACAGTATTCTTAGATTCTGCACACGTTGAGTCTTCCAGCTTCATGCCTTCATGAAAGAGAATAGTGGATTGTAGTCCAGTCTATTGATAAGCTGCAGCACTCTCTTGGCAATGTCCCTGATCTTGGCTCCCAGGAGGCAGCAAACCTCTTGAGACTCACTGTCAGGTTGGCAGAAGGGAGCCTCAGTGCCTTTTAGTGGGGAGTCACCCGCTATAAGCATGGGGCATTTAGTTTTACAATATCCACTGCAGGCTGTCTGAGTGGTTTCTTCTTGTAGATGTGAGGTTGCAGCCAGAGGATTGTGGTCACAGGCTTAATGTTCAAGCAGAGGCTGTCCCACAGGCATCCATCTTGGGATCAGTGCAGTTTAATATGGGCCTTATTAAAAGAAGGGTGGCTCACAGGGAGAGGGAAGGGATTGACAACCTCTACTCTGCGCTTGTGAGGCCTTATCTGCATCTAGATCTGCTGCCTCCAGTAAAAGATAGGGTTGGAGCTGTTAAAGTGGGCCCAGAAAAGGCTAGAAAGATGATCAGAGGGCAGAGAAGGCTCAAGGGAGACCTCATGGTGGCCTTTCAGTACTTAAGCAGAGCTTATAAACAAGATGGAAACGGACTTTTTACATGGTTTGATAGTGATAGGATAAGGGGAATGGTTTTAAACTAAAAGAAGGAAGATTTCGGTTAGGTGTTAGGAAGAAATTCTCAACTCAGAGGGTGGTGAGTCACAGGCACAGGCTGTCCAAAGAAGTTGTGGATGCCTGGAGGCATTTAAGGCCAGATTGGATGGGTCTCTGGGCAATCTGATCAAGAAATGAGCTTCAAGGTCCATACCACTTAATAAAACCAAGCTGTAGCATGTTTGAAGTTTTGTTGCTCTCCGTATACATATAGGTATAGAACTGGGAAAGCCTCTAGAAGAATAAAAGGGAAAATCAAAGTAGAGAGCATCATCCATATAAGAACTGAAATGAGGTGGTGATGACACTTCAGTCTAGTAAAGGTGTAGCTCAAGGTGAATAATATGATATTAGAAGGTGAATATGATAAGAGATTAATAAAACCAACAGTGTGTATGTAGAGAAGGTAGATGGGGAAATTTATTAAATACAAAAAGCTTATGTGAAGGTGGAAGGATCCAGGCCCCAAATGAATAAAGTTCTAGAGTTCTGAAAGCCCTTACTAAAACATTTTGAGGATGAAAAATGTTTCCATGACTTTAATGACTTGCCAAGTACTTGAGGTACGGTAGGGTTGGCTAGCAAATAGGTAACATTACCGTGCTCAAAGTTTTAAGATACAGGGAGGGTTCTGTGGGGAAAATTTTGTATATTCTTTCCATGTTTTTATTGCAGGAGTAAAACATGGCCACCACTTACAGACTGTGAAGTACAAGGCATTGCCTGAATGACAACAAATGTAAGTCTGTACATTTTCCTGTTGTAAGTCTAAGAGGAAAGAGCAGAGGAACAAGGTGTTCATCCAGAATAACATTACAGTATTGCTTAAAGTGATACGTAAATACAAGAAAAACTATGAAAGACATAAGTTCTCCAATGACTTTATAATATCTGTTTGTTAATCTTTTTTTTAATAATATCATTATTTCATATAGTAGCTGAAAGTAACAAGTGCACTTTGTGTGAACTAGTAATGTGAACTAGCAGGTTTTGCATCAGTATTTGTATAAAAGTCAGTAGAAACATTAAACTAAGTAACGTGACCTAAAGATAAAATTATTCTCAAAGTTCAGAATTATTGCAGACTTCATTATTAAGATATAAACAGTACATAAACTTAGTACAATCTTTCATCGATGAGGAATTTCATCTATAAACAAACATTTCTATTTCTTGTTCTCACCTGTCTTGCTTGTTTTGTAATATGGCTTCAACCTATTGGATGCTTATGTTAATTTCTGTAAGGTGTATTATAAAAAGATACTTCCATGTTTCTTTAAAGTGAAAAACAAACTAAACTACCAATATTTTGATTAAAACATGTAGATCATAGGAAACGGAAAAATATTACTACAGTTAATGATGACCACTATGCGGTGGCATAAGATGCACATCTTTGTATATTTATTTACAAATATTTTCTACTTCTGGAGTATGCAAAGCCTAAACTGTTGTGGCTTTTTTTCTCTCTTGTTCTTCCCACCCCACTTCACAGGGACAGGAGAAAGTGGAAAGAGTACTTTCATTAAACAAATGAGGATTATCCATGGATCAGGTTATACAGAAGAAGACAGGAAAGGCTTCACAAAACTAGTTTATCAAAATATATATACTGCCATGCAAGCTATGATCAGAGCCATGGACACTCTGAAAATACAGTACACATCTGAAGAAAATGAGGTAAGACAGTATAAAGAAAATTCAAGTTTCAGTGCATGAAATTTCAGCCTGTACATGAGTGATCTGACTCGTAACTAACTGCAAGTAGGGCATTAAATTCTGCATTTCGTGTAGTGAGTTTGATGTCCCACAGTCTGAATGTGAAGACAGGCAGGGAAAGGTGGGTAAGGGGTTGAGGATGGGCAGGAAGAGAGGATATTCATTGTTATAGGTTTGTAATAAGTAATGAGCACCATTAATTTTCTTTTGGAATCTAATTTGTGAGTTAGTAATACATGGTGGCTTGTCAGTAGCACTCCAGAATGAGAAGCTTTGAGTATATTTTGTAGGGAAGAATTAGAATTAATAAACAGAGATATGCTTTGAAGCATGCTACCTTTTGGATTTGATAGTAACCTCTATGAACTTAATTAACTTGAATATGAGAAAGTCTTCTCCAAAATTTTTTTCTTTTTGTTGTGTTTAAACTTACAGAAATTATTTTTGTTTCAGTGCTTAGTAGAATTATGCAAACAAACAAAAAAACTACAGCAACAACAACAAAAAGCCAAAAAATCTACTTCAGTTAAATCATTTTCTTGTTCTATTTTGTCTGTTAAATCAGTTGCTTGTTTTATTTTTTCTTAATTTTATTTTTGCTATGAAATATAGACAGGTTTTTAAGACAGACTGGTTTTAGACTGTGGACATTTTGCTCAATATCTTGAACATTGTGTAAGCAAATTATTAGGTGTTATTTCTTTGAATTAAGAGCGATTTCCAGGTATCTAATTTTTGGTGTTAGGATAGGGAAGACTACCTGTAGGGAGTGTGAAGAAGTAAAGTTGTAGAATCTATGAATTTATATTTTTAATTGAAGTATCATGAGAAAAGAAGTAAGTAAGTTATTTTCATTCAAAAATATGATTACATGAAGAATATAAAGAATAAAATTCTGATTAGTATCTTTTTGCTATTTAGTTGTTTTGTACTGTGTATTCTTCTTTGGGTAATAAAAAAAAAGATAGGAAATGTTATTTAAAGTAGAGATCTAGGTAATTACATTTTTTTAATCACAAAAAGAACAAATGGTATCAACAGGAACAAATTCTGGAGTTGAGAGAACTGAGGAGTTAGAGTAGCTATTTCCTACGGAATAAAAAATTCTGAGGGTTAATGACTTGCTTGTAGAATACCTCTAGGAATTGTATTTGTGATAATCTTGGGAAAAAGTAATTCATTTTAATTCTATATTTTCATGAAAAGGGATGATAGTAAGAATCTATTTGAAGAACTACATTTGAAGTACATCCTACCAAGTTTTGGGATTTGTGTTTCTTTTCTCTTCATTTCCAAAACAAATCTGTATAGGTTTAGTAAATAGCAAAGTTTTTCTCATTCTTTGCTCTGAGCACTGGGCTGGATACATTCCCATAACACAGTATTCTGGGTAAATTGTGTTCTTGCTGGTTGCTGTGCCACCATTGTCTTCCGATTCAGAAGGTGGTAATGCCATTGCAGTTTTTGAAGAGGTACAATTAAATCTGGCGCTTCCTTGTTGAAAACGTTTATTAAAAGACCTGCTGAGAACACAGTTTTATGTGCTCAGGTTTGTTGGCTTTAGAAAGCGAATCATTTTTGCTTACACATAGAGAAACTCCTGAGCGATAATTCGGTAATAACCATGTTTGTGTTACTGTTCCTAGCAGGGGGCAGCTGCAAATACGCCTTTCATTTAGGTGGTGAATTTAAGACAAAGTACTATAAATCTTATATTTGATTCCCTTAAATGATCTTAAGCCCGTAATAGGCAGTTATTGGCAACATAGTGATTAAAAAGAGGATCTGTACAGCTCTGGTGTCAGAGTTCTATTGCAACAGGTGTCCAGTGGCCATATTATAATTGTCCAGTGGTCTCCACATTTCAATTTGTTGATTTTGCCTGCATCATATCTTCTTTTTCCTGAAAATAAATAAATAAATAAATAAATAAATAAATAATCCCTCTGGCCCTGTTATTTATCTATTTGTTTGACTGATTGACTTTTTTGATTGATGCTTTTCTTAACATCCATGTTGTTCTTTGACAGATTTCCTTTGACAAGTCATATTTCCTCCTCCTCTGTGGGTCCTGCAGTTCTCTGCTGCCAAACATCTCTTCATTTGATGCTTTTGTAGTGAAAAACAGATTGTTCTGTGCTGAGTGTCTCAGCCCTGTAAATGCAAAGTGCAAATCTATAACTTATGGAAATAGAGAATGCCCAAATAAGCCTTTTAACATTTGCAAATAAAAGCCAGTTTTATAGGAGGGTTCTAAAGGGTTTTTACTGATGTTGTCAGATACAATATTAAGTAAGATGTTTGCACACCCTACCATGCTGCCAGTCTCATGTCTGATCATTTGTCTGTGTTTTTGGAATGTATAGTTTTTATTTTTAGTTTTTCCTGTTATCCTGCTCTGTAAAACTTCTTACTAGGGTTGATCTAGCTTGGCTTAGGGGAGTGAGACTTTTATTATTTATGTTTTAATTTTCAATGTCATACTGTGGAAAATGCTAAATTGGGTTCTGATTAGTATCCATTTACAGTCTAACATGATTTACAGTCTCTGGGGGTAAAATTTTTATAGATGGAAAACTTAATATGAGCCAGCAGTGTGCCCTTGCTGCTCGGAAGGCAAATGGTATCCTGGGCTCCATCAGAAGAGGGGTGACCAGAAGGGACAGGGAGGTGATTGTCCCCCTCACTGCTCTTGTGAGGCTCCATCTGGAGTACTGCGTCCAAATGTGGAGCCCCCAGTACAAGAAAGACAGGGAGCTGTTGGAGAGGGTCCAGAGGAGGGCCACAAAGATGATCAGGGGACTGGAGCACCTCCCCTATGAGGACAGGCTGAGGGAGATGGGCTTGTAGAAGCCTGAAGAAGAAAAGACTGAAGGGTGACCTCATTGCAGCCTTCCAGAACATAAAGGGAGCCTAGGGAGGGGAATCAACTCTTTGAAAGGGTAGATAACAGCAGGACAAGGGGAAATGGTTTTAAGTTGAAGGAGGGAAGATTTATGTTGGATATCAAGGGGAAGTTCTTTACTATGAGAGCGGTTATGGAACAGGTTGCCCAGAGAGGTTGTGGTTGCCCCATCCTTGGAGCTGTTCAAGGCGAGATTGGATGGGGCCCTGGGCAGCCTGGCCTAGCATTAGGTGGGAAGATTGGTGGCCCTGCATGTGGCAGGGGGGTTGGAGATTCATGATCCTTGAGGTGCCTTCCAACCCTGGCCATTCTGTGATTCTGTGATTCTGTGATTCTGTGATTTTTGTGTGAAATGTGTGAATTAATTAATTTACAAACATTTCTTCTCTCCACAGAGAATGTCAAAAAGCAAGACTGAAGTCAGTAGAAATGCTATCACTTTCCTTATTTGAGAAGTCATGTTTGAGTATATGTGAGAGTTAAGTAAATGGAAGAAGGAATGCACATGTGAGTCTGAGGGGGAAAAATCAGTAGTAGTAAATACTCTTCTTCATCATTCAATATCTTTAAAATAAACACAAGGTGAAAGTATAGGAAAAAAAAAAAAGCTCTTCAAGCAAAAAGGGGAAGAAATCAGGTGATGTTGGAAGAGTAGAAGACACAGGATTTCGTTTGTGGGTATACATCAATCTTCAGATTGATAGTGGGATAGTTAGGATAGTTGTGTAATCCCTTCTCTAGAAGGAGTGTACTTTCTGTTAAAGTACAGAAAGTACAAATGTGCTTTGAATTCCACTGGTAAAGCTGGTTTATATTGGCCTCACAGTACATTTAGATTCATCCAGTTGGAAATGTCCTACAAAGATCATCTAGTCCAACTGCCTGATCTGTTAATCAAACGTTAATCAAACGTTAAAGTGAGCAAATTGTCCCAAAGCCACTTGAGTACTGACAGGCTGGGAAAACAACCACCTCACTACTGTTTTTACTGTTTGAGTGCCTTTGTAGTTAAGAATTTTTCCTAATGTGCAATCTGAACCTTCCTTGGTGCAGAGAGACATAAATGGTGAGAAATATGGAAGTGTCCTGAACCATGACTGGGCCTATTTCATAAATAGGAAAGTTTGGTCAGAAGTACAACAGTAGTAGAGCTGATGAGCATTGCAAAAAGTCTATTAATTCTTAGAAAATATTGATCCACCGTATAAAGCTTAGGTGATTCTAAATGGTTGGACCTCCATCCTCCTTTACCAAAATTCAATACTTCTCATTGCTGATAATGTATTACATTTTCAATAAAAATTACTGTATCTTTACCTCCTGAAATTTGTTAAGACTTCTTCTTTTGCTATAGCCTTTCGCCTTAAATACCATAATATAAAACTTATTATTTCTCAGCAGCATTTAGCATAACTCGGTGAAGTAAGCAAGAACATAACAGATATATAACCAGGCAGAATTTTACTGTATTTACAGATGGTGTTAATTAATTGCATCAAGTTCTCTCATTTTGAAATGCTACCAACTTTACTAGCAAAACAATGCATATAAATAAAAAGCAATCAGTTGTGATGGAAAAAAATAACTAGTGAAGTGTAGTTAATAAGCATATGGACTTGTATTTAGTACTTTGAAGTGAAGATTTCTTCGCTAGAAGAATATGTATGAGTGGTTAATATCTTTTTGTCTTTTTAGAGTAGACTTTAATGTTCTGAACGTCTTCCTGCTCTGTGTACTTCTTCTTTTGTAATAACTGAATAATTCCTTTGCTTTCTCTGTGGCTGTGAAGGCATTATTTTTTGGCACCTAAAACAAAGACAATCTTGGTAAATAGTTCCACTAATAGTGCAGAAGACTGAACAAAGCCCGGTTCACTTATTGTCTGGGCTATGGTGTAAAGAGTTAAAAAGCAATACAACTTGGTTATAGAGGCTGAAACAACATCACTGAACAAAGGCTGCTGTGGCTCAGTATGTTATCTGACCCAGCTTCTTTGCCAGAAGCTGCTGCTTTGGTGTCAGAGTCAGCATGGGAAACGTGCATCTGGCTTTGTTGC